TCCCTCTCAGAAGTACGAGCGTTATAATGTGACAGTCAATTACATATTTGTTGGTAAAAGTTGGCGGTGGGTGGTGTTGACTAGTTGCCTTCCCTCTAGTCCAACTCTGTTAAATTAGGGATGGCTAGCGCAGATAGCTTTCCAGTAGCTTTGCGAAAAATTCAAAACAAAACAAGTAAAAAAAAACAGTAAAAAAATTATTTCTTGTTAGGTACTGTTACTTTATAACATATAATAAAGATGAGCGTAACATTCCACAGATAGAAAACATTAAACTTCGAATTATTTTACCAGTGTTCAGAATCAATTTATCGAGGTTCTTACAAAACTATAATAAAGCGACAATTATTACAACCTTATTTTACTGACCCATACGAAATAAGCACATTAATCGATTTACATTACTGTAAACCTTCATATCGAATCTTCACACTTTACTTTTTAGATGTACAGTGTGTTAAACTGCGTAAAAGTTTCCACAGAAATTACACTACGAAGTGTGGAACAATTGTGTGGTGTGGCATTAACACAGCTAGTAAGAATGAGGATTGTTTATCTATGTTTCAGCACTTACATAAAAAAAACAACAACTCACGTTTTGATCCTGAGGAGTGTTTTATATTCACCGAAATATGTTTAAAGGTTTATGTATACAAGCTTATCAACTCTATCTAATATTGCAGAGTGAAAAGGGCGAACTAAATTTATTTTACTTATTTATCATCACTAACTTTTAACGTTTTATAACAACATTTCTTAGTTAAGTAAAACGTTCTACTTTTCCAGCATGGGTGTACAACTCTGTTAAGAACGTAGCTATAGATATGTCAGTCCCTAATCCTTTTGTATATCTTGTAGTTGTTTTAATATATGGTTCTAAACATTTGCCGATACTGGGCAATCATACCCAATCAAAGTTCGAATGGCTGTTTTTATAAATCATCAATAGTTTATTGATATTATAACCTATAAAAGATTACTATTTACTCTTTGCCAAACCTTTTTTTAACTCTTCGACATGTTCCCGTCATATAACATACTAGCTCTTTAAGCCTTAAGGGCGTTATAATGTGACGGTTAATCTCACTATTTATTGATAAAAGAGTGGTCCAAGAGTTAGCGGTGGATGGTGTCGATTAACTGCTTTCCCTCTAGTCTGTCGCTGCTAAATTAGGAACGTCTAGCACATATAGCCCTCGAGCAGCTTTGCGCGAAATTCAAATCAAATCAAAGCAACTCACGTGTTCCAAAACATAGACCGAATCCCGATCAAGAAGACGTTCCTTACATGAAGAAATACTTTATTTTAGATCATATTAGAGAGAAAAGTTTGATGTTAGTAGTAGCTAATTTAATAATTATTTAGCTTATTTGAATAAACATTTGAACAGTTCAGTGGTTAGTCGAAGTCTCCGAAAAACAATTAGCCATGTTTTATGTGGATTAAGGGTCACTTCTGATTTCTGCAATGTTGATTTAAACCATATATCATTTTCTGCAAAGCTTTAATTGCTATACAGGACAAAACTGCTCATTACTGACTGAAAGAACAATGCGACTAATATACTAATACTTTTCACTATTATAATCAAGGAGTGAATCATCAGTGGTGCCACTAACATAGACAGTGTGCAGGAGAATACTTAATACGGATCATTGGGGATTAAAGGAGACTGATATTTCATTTCCATTCTAACACGAATAAGTATATTTTTCATAAAAATTATAAATTAATCTCAAGATAAAATCAGGGCAACAATTGTTATGGTGTGAACGCCTTTTAGAAACTGTTGAAGCATGATATAATTAATTATATTTGTCATCAGTCATCATGCTAGGGCTTGGCATGGCCAGGTGGTTAGGGCACTCGACTCTCAATCTGAGAGTCGCGGATTCGAATACCCATCCCAACAAACATGCTCGCCCTTTCAACTGTGGGGGTGTTATAATTTTACGGCCAATCCCATTATTCGTTGGTAAAAGAGTAGTCCAAGAGTTGACGGTGGGTAGTGATGACTGGCTGCCTTCCCTCTAGTCTTTCACTGTTAAATTGGGGATGACTAGCACAGATAACCCTCGTGTAGCTTTGCGCGAAATTCAAAATAAACCAAACATCATGTTAGGCTTATTATATTTTTTAGGAATGTAGTGTTAATAAATATAATTTTAATAGGCCTTACATAATGTCTTATAACAAATATAATTTTAATAGGCCTTACATAATGTCTTATAACAAATATAATTAGTTAAAATCAGGACATTTCAACTATCGTTGTGACCAATTATAAAAGAAATAGCTCTGTGTTTGTGTATTTTTGTTGAAATCCTTCTATGGAAATCCACACCGTTGATCTAACTTAATAATCCCGAAGTATGCACCATGAAATGTGTTTCCCAAAGTTTCAATATCATGCTTTAAAATTCGAAAATTTCTAAATCCTATAACAATATATAAAAACGGGTGTAGTGTAATCCCCATCCACGGAGGGGTATGATCGCTAGTCTAATAATAAGTCGCTCCTGTATTTCACAACTTAAATCTAAAAACACAGCAACTGTAACCTTATTAAATGATTGACAGTAGATCTATTTTTTCTAGTGTAATACTGAAAACTTTTAATAAATTATTATTTTCGAAATATAGTGTAAATCTTTTATTTATGATCCTTTCTCTAAGCCTTTAGCAATGCAGAAGTACAATAAGTATATAGTTTCTTAATCTACAGGGTATCCGAAAAATCTGGAATCTGGTAGGCACTTCAATAAATTTTACAGAATGTATTCCACGTGGTGTCCTTGTAATTCGAAACAACTTTGGATTAACAGCAGGATTAATCGACCTTCTTGTGCTTTGACAGCGCCATAATCAGTCACGTATATGAAATTAAGAAAAACTGCAAATTGCCTATGTTATCACACTTTTCGGACACCCCGTACTATGATCTTTATCAGAATCAGGAATCATAGGCCTGAAAAAAGTTTTCCAAGGAAATAAGTTATAAATTAAAGCGATTAATTATGTTAATCAGAAAAAATAATAAAAATATGCTCAATATAATCATCACAAAGGCATGTATTAAACTATTCGAAAGATGAACGTTTTCATATTTATATACAGTAATTTTCTAATCATTAGTCGAATACGTAAATTATATTTTTCAAAACTTCCGGTGTCGTGGTCAATATAAAAATATTTTATAGAAACCGGAAGATATGATTCAAATCAATATTATTCCATTATTTATACCTTGATAGTCTACATTATTATAACAAATTATTATTTCTTTCTGTATAAAGAGATTGTATATAGTTCTTATTAAAGCAAAGGCAATGGATTCTCTTTAGCGTCAATAATTATAATGCTATCTTCTTTTTTTTAATAGTTGTTTTAATATTAAGATTCTGAGTGAAAAGCAAAGTTTGAAAGCCATAAAGTCTTCTATTTCATTGTAATAAATTAGGAATGGAATACTAATGCAAGTGCAAAAGTTTTCAAATCCTTTTTAACGATATATGAAGTAATTCAAATACTTTTCAAGGGTTCTTTCTTGAACACTAGATTTATGTCTGTTAGACATTTACTTCAGATTCCTTATTTACTGTGTTAACGTTTTAGAATACAGTACTTTTATATTTAATGACTGTTATTTAAAATATCGTTGAGGTTAAATATATACGCCCAGAGAAGTGCGCAAAGCATATTTTGCACATTAATCACGTATTCACAGTTTGCAGAAGTATGTCTGTCTCTTTATATATATATATACATATATACATGAAGGGAAGGGAATCTGTAATTTTAGTGTTTGTCTGCATTTTGTGTTAGGGTTGTGTTGAATCCCTAAACTAAAAATATAAAACATTTTAACTGAATCTAATGAGTCCTCAGTATGCTATGAGGTTAATGTTAACTAGTGGTTTTAGTTTCGGTTTGCATGAAAGTTGGGTAACGTATGTATTTCCTGGATATAAGTACGTATTTGTTTTAATGTTAGATGCAACATTTATTTATATGAGTATGAATGTGTTTTTCATACCTTTTCTTTCCCTAACAAGTATCCCGTTGCTCAATATTAAAAAACTTCTTTGTCTCTGAAACTTATTGTAAGTTAAAAGCTAAAATAATAAGAAGCACGGTGCTTGATAACTATGTTGTATGTTACTTTTACAAAAATAAACAAACATACCTTTACGACGACACATTTATTCCGAGTGATCAATATTTGAACCAAATTACTCACACCGTCATGTAGTTTGCGCCCTCATGTTGTAACCTTAAAGTAACTTCAGAATAGATCCTAATGCATAGAAGTATTTATAATATGTGCATCACTACCACGCGCGATTTAAGACCAATAAAACTAAAAACAGAACTGAGAAGAATTCACGTGTAGGCATTTGGTGTAGGCATGTTTGAATTTTTCATTTGAAAATAGTTATGCAATGGTAGGTAACTTAAAAATAACTATTGGGTTTAGTACATGATATTTTAACTTTGTCTGGCCAAAACATACATGTAAACAGATTAAACACTTTTCAGTTTTTTGCATAAAGAACAATTCTTTGTCTATTACTATTATTTTTAGCATAAAATATACATTTCAATCTGGTTAACAGACGAGCAAGTTATTTTTTGAGAGATCAGAAACAATTAATGATAAAACTACAATCATGTGTAATAACTATTACAACCCTCTAACACTGGACTATATGAAATAACTAACAATTTAATTCGTTTACTTGTATAGACCTAGTTAATGTGGTAAGTGATTTCCAGCAATGTTCATGAAAGTTGAATATGGATTTGCTTGCAGTTAAGCACAAAGCTGCACAATAGGCTATCTGTGCTCCGTGCCACCACGGGTATCGAAACCCGGTTTCTAGCGTTATAAGCCCGCAGACATACCGCTGTGCCACTGGGAGGCACAATAGGCTATCTGTGCCTGACACAGGTATCAAAAACCGATTTTAGTGTTATGAATCCGCAGACATACTGCTGACCCACTGGAGAGCTGAACATGGAAATATATCTTAGTACGTATTTCAGATCTAAGCATGGAAGTATGTCTTAGTACGTATTACAGATCTAAACATGGAAGTATGTCTTAATACGTATTGCTGATCTTAGCATGGAAGTTTGTCTTAATACGTATTTCAGACCTAAACATGGAAGCATGTATTAGTAAGTATTTCAGACCTAAACACAGAAGTAAGTCTGTACATAATTGAGATCTAAACATAGAAGTAAATTTGTACATATTCTGGTTTTATTATAGCTAAATTTACTCTAAATAACAGATTTTTATCAACTTTTTTTTTATAATATTTCTCTACATTACCTCTATGAGAATGCCTGTACCTTGTTATGTTTATGATGTGTAACTGTGATGCCTCCAATATTTTTCATCTTTTTAATACATGCAATGAAAATTACTTAACTATATTTCAAGATGTCAGATATAAATACTGTTTAGTGTACGTAGTATTATTAATTATTTTATTTTCTATTTGTAATTCATTGGTGTCGAGGCTATCGAACGTTTTGTTTGCAATCCATTGATGTCGAGGCTATAGAGATCTCTCGAAGGCCTAAGTGATAGACGTATAAATAGCTGCGACCAGCTGCGAGGGGAAACAGAGTAAAAGTAAAGTCACGTGAAAGAAGTTCGTTAGAGAAATGCTAGAAAACGTAAAGTTAACCATCGTTGGAGTGAATGGCCTAACGGTTGATATGTTATAGCGAGATTAACAGTTTGAAAGAGATAAGGAGAATTATTTGTCTCACCAAAGGGTGTTCTAAACTGACTGAACCCACCTGTGTGGACTTTGACAAAAGGCAGACGGTTATTGAAAGTACAAAGAGCAGACGATTATTGGAAGTTTAGGATACAAATGCGTTTATTAGCGCGACAGTGTAAGTGAATTATACACGGATACTATTGCGATAAAAATAGAGAAAACTAGTTCGACTTGTCAACTGAATTCTAAAGCACTTGAATTGGCCTAAGTGGACTTTTGACAAAGAGAAGAGAACTGTATAGTGTTTAAGATAAAACTATTATTCCCATAATGTAAAGAATTTTTGTACATACGTTTAACGTGTTTCGAACATATATATTATTTTATAAAGAAGTGGAGTGCGTGCTTTTTTTGTATATTGTCGAATTTATCGCCAACAAATCTCAGTCATCTACTGTAGAAGAATCCTTAGTCTAACACATTCATATATTTACATTAATATATATACAACTAAAAAGTAAATTTCTGACACAAAAATTACTTTTTCTTCCATATACTTTTATTTGGTGAATATATTTTCTATGTGTTTACATATTTTAAAAACATAATCATGAGGTTTATTTCAAATAAAACTGGTACACCTGAATCAATAAATTTTATAATATTTGTTATTGTTTACCCAAACGGAAGACATGCGTTCGCTCGCATCCAGCTTCTGATTTATTTACTCTGGTGCTACGTCTTTGATTTTCTGCAGAATACCACGTGTAGCATCCAGAACCACAATATCTCCTGTAAACGATATTACAGGTTTAAGTTTTAATAGCCTTCAAAGAATAAGCACTATGTATTTTAAAATGATCAGAATATATATATATATATATATATATATATATATATATAATTCTTAGACACAGACGTAAGGAAAACGAAGTTAGTTAAGTAGTAG